ATACAAGCCATTCTCAACCAGGGTTCTCCCAGACGTTGCTAGGGGTTCCTTGGGTTGTGGATGATTTACCTCTAATTTGATGGTGCCTAGACTCCATGATCTTTTTGACTGTCTGTAATGGTGGCATTCTGACCACCAATGGCCATGGATGTAAGTGGATTTTTCCCTCTGACCTCAATGAATTGTGTTCTCTGAAACATGATAATTATTTATAAGGGTTCCTCTGGGTTAACAGGTTGAGAGAGGCTATTCTAAGCAAAATAAACAGCTGAGTAAGCTTCTGTGACTATGATACCATCAGTAGAACCTGTAGAATAAGTGCTTACTGCTCACTCAATATCTCACCCATGTGAATGGAGCTCAGCTCTCACCCACCAGGGAAGAGAGTTCACACGGAGACAAGGAGTTGTGGCAAAGTATTTTAATGTGAAGGTATTGCAGAAGTATAACAGAAGCCACATATATTTATTTATTTATTTCAGGTACCGTCAATTTACGCAGCGCTTTACATATATATTGTACATTCACATCAGTCCCTAACCCTTAAGGGGTGTACAATCTAAGGTCCCTAACTTACATCCATACATACACATACTAGGGACAATTTAGACAGGAGCCAATTAACCTACCAGCATGTCTTTGGAGTGTGGGAGGAAACCGGAGTACCCGGAGGAAACCCACGCAGGCACAGGGAGAACATGCAAACTCCAGGCAGGTGGTGCCATGGCTGGAATTCAAACCAATGACCCGAGTACTGCCAGGCTGAGGTGCTAACCATTTAGCCACTGTGCTGCCCATATATGACCATTTACAATGAATCTGATATCCATACACCAGGTTGACACTCGACAGCATCCAACAGAGGAGGTGGCTGGAAGGCAGACTACAAAAGTACCTGAAACAGGAAGGTTACTATCAAGAGCACAATATCAGTCCCTAGTCTGTTCCTTCTCCACAGGAACCTGTCCCTAAGCTAAGCGATCCGTCCCTAGCCAGCGGGGAGCTCTGTCCCTGACCTAACCACGCACAAAATGCACACCAACCGAAGAGGGACATTGCTGTTTGTTACCACTGTCCTCACTAAAGATGGCTGTGGAGGTCAGCAAGGGCAGCCGCATTCAATCAAACAGCTGCTCCCCAAATGACACCTGCGGGAGCCTCAGAGGAACAAGGGGTCCCCTCAGCATGGTGACCGCTGTACAGCACCTCCCTTGCAGGGACGCCACACTACACCTGTCTACACCCAGATATTTTGCGCTTACATGAAAGATAACTATTAGTGTTCAGAACTGCAGGAAGGATAGTGTCATAAGTTGTAGACATGAAGCCCTTCATGGAAGAGACCTGAGCTATCAGGCTAGACAGGGGTTGTCATATTCATTTTAACAGATTTAACCAGTTGAGTTATTCATCTGACCCAACGATTAATGGCATGTTGGGTAAACTAGAATCAACTGATCTGAAGCTTTTTCTGTATGACCTGATTTACATGTTTTTACAATAATGTCACAATTGAAGTATTTGATACAATCTGTATCATCTACCATGAATGGTATCAATTACTCTATGCAACACAATGAGTGATGGTTGCTATATAAACAATATAATGGCAGCCTTAAATTGCTATCACATTGTTTCTTTGGAAGTTGATCTATATAGCTCCCATCACCCATTGTGTTGCATATAAATTATACCATTGATGCTGAGTAATACAGACTGTACAAAATACCTAAATAATTACATGCTGCTCTATAGAAAAGACAAGATTCGGTACAAGAGTACCCTGCCTGTACACGTTTACAGTGTGGGCAATGACATCTAAGCCAATAGACCATAAATATCATCGCATTTCTGTGGCCAACAAGAAGACATAGGTGGCCAAGTGGGGGATTTATTTCAGCTGCAGGTAATACTGATGTGTAAAGTGTATCATAAGCCAAACTTTTCTTTCAAGTTCGGATAGAGCTTTTTAGTGAGGGGATAGAACCACGGCCAAGTTGTTGTCTTTGTCTTTGTCCCCATTGGGAAGATTCACTCTATTTGTCCTAGTGGGCAGTCAGAAAGATTAAAAGAAAGGGATAATCCAACATTTTAGGTTGTCACCAGAACAAGAGTAAAGAGCAAGTTATCTTCCCCTAGAGCAGTGTTTCTCAACTCCAGTCCTCATGGACCCCCCAACAGGTCATGTTTTCAGGATTTCCATTATTTTGCACAGGTGATTTGATCAGTTTCACTACCTTAGTAATTACCACAGCTGTTTCATCTGAGGGAAATCCTGAAAACATGACCTGTTGGGGGTCCATGAGGACTGGAGTTGAGAAACACTGCCCTAGAGTCACTCGTTCCAGTGCAACTGTCAACGTGTGAATATTCCCTCTCTTCTGTTGTGCCGACAGGACAGGAAGTGAAGAGAGACAAAAAACAGTTGACTTTAGATACACTCTAACCAGAACGGAACTAATCAAGGCAAATTTTTTCTCAAAGAAGTGAATCAACGTTCACACCACATTAGCCCCTTTTGGAATTATCAAAAATTTCCACACTGCCAGTTTGAGTCTACATGTAGCTGAGGGGTTCTTCAGCACAATTCTTGTCGCTCTATAACTTGTAGAAGGAATAATCGCGTGTCGCAGTCTGGACAAGCAACATTCTTTCAGTTCTCTTGATGGAAGATAATAAGACATATATAAACCTTAGCAATGCTCTTCTCCTATTTGTTCCCTTTAGGTCTGTTATATATGGTTAGCACTTCTGCCTGGCAGGACTAGGGTCGTTGATTCGAATCCCCACCATGGCACCACCTGCCTGGAGTTTGCATGTTCTCCCTGTGCCTGCGTGGGTTTCCTCTGGATGCTCCGGTTTCCTCCACCACTCCAAAAGACATGCTGCTAGGTTAATTGGCTCCTGTCTAAATTGGCCCTAGTATGTGTATGTATGAATGTGAGTTAGGGACCTTAGATTGTACGCCCCTTGAGGGTTAGGGACTGATGTGAATGTACAATATATATGTAAATTGACGGCGCTATATAAGTACCTGAAATAAATAAATAAATATAGCATTGAAAAAATTTTGATACATTAAAAAAGCTTGTTGATCCTGCTAGAAATCTTGCAAGCTGATAACTTTCTGAGCTCTCAGCCTGTGTTAACCATCTTTGACATTTTCCTTAGATATCTCTGAAGGCTACAGAACCATGCCCCAGTATGTTATGGGGAATAGAAGAGGGGGCGGGTTCCATAGTCCTGTTTTGTTTCTGTTGTGCTGGTGTAGCACCCTGGTAGAAGTAGTGTAGGCTGTTAGGTAAATTTAGTTAACTCCTCTTCAATTAGTGGAGTAGGGGTTGATGGTTTAGGCCTGCTCAGTGTCTTACAGGCTGCTGCTCTGATTACCCCCCCTATATTCTAGAGGATTCTCAAATTATAGTGGGAGGAAGAACAGAGTGGACAGCCTTAATATTTATGGTACTCCAGCCAATCCCTAAGTAGGTGTGCCCAGTAGGTGGTGGGAGAGCCTGCAAATAGCCTGAGGATAAAGTGCAGTGATTCTGGGTCCAGTCCTGCTGACCCCAGGAGTGCTATTACCGAGGTCCCAGCTAGGTTTAGCTGGGGGGCCTATTTGGAAGCTTAGTTCTGGAATCAATTTGGGTCAGAAGAACGCTCACTGGAGAAAGCCAGGAGGAGGTTTGGGGGGAAAAATGTGGAACTGTCCTATGGTGTTGTGAGCCTACATCTCCCTCACCGTGAAGAGCTTTATTGGATATTGGAATGAGGCAACTGGTGATCCTTTGGCTGAGTAGACTGTCCATGTGCTGGAGAGTTAGTGACTGTGTGTAGCTTTTGGTCTCTAGCAGAAGTCCTAGTCACCATCAGCATTAGAGATTCTGTGGGACATTTTTGTATAGTTCAGCAGTACAGTTAAGGAGTCCTCAGAGTGTCCAGTTTTGGGGTATCCTATACTCGCTCACCCCATTCATGTTCAGCATTCCCAATAAAACCCTACAAAGACACCCCTAGATTATTCCTTTGAGCCAGCAGAAGAGTAAATAAAATGTCATGTGCCTGGTGTTCTGTCCCCACATGAAGGCGAATGAAGGTATAACTGACAATAGCTGTGTAACTTCCTACCTTCGTATCCAAGCAGTGGGAGCAGACCGGACCGGCAGAGCTTAGGTTAGACGGATCCAAACGTATACATGAGAATTAAATCAGTGTGGGTTTATTTGATCCAAATACAGCGACAAACAGTGATACAATACTGTAAGGTAGTAGAGGTATTCATGCTGTCCTGTGATATTTTTCCTGAAGCTAACTGCTGGTCAAAAACTGATGCCTTCACAAGCCCAGGGTATGGAATGTCCTGTCACATAGCTATAAAGCACATAAAATGGTTGCAGAAAGCGACCAGAACCAAGGCTTGCCTAAAACCACGCCCAGCAGAGAAAAACTTTACTAGCAATAAACATGCTAGTATGTTATGAGGCATGCAGCATGCAAATTCTGGCTAGCAGATGGCAGCAACAGATCAAGACATAGAAACAAACGTGGTGAAATAAGAATTGGTGATACAATGCACAGTTAAACAAATATGAGGAGAACAGCACACCTGGCTATGTGTGCTCTAACTGGAGGAATAGGGCTAAGTTTACCAGCAGCTCCATTGGGGGTGCGCTACACTAATACAGACGTGTTAGTGAGCATTGTCACCCTAAGACAGGTTGTGCGTTACTTGCAGGATCACCAGGTCAAAACTAAAGGAATAGAGAGCTTAAAAAAAAGAAAACGAATGCAGCTTCTAAATTTATAGTTGGCAAGGTACAATATATTACATTTTTGTGTTTTGGGTTTAGATACACTTTACATCATTACACTTTACAGTTGATTGACCCCAAGTACATACGATGATGATGCATGCAGCATGTGCACTGAATCTGATATTTATTCATTATAATAAAGTCATTTTTATTGTCTTTTCCCTTGTAGGTGACCTCGTATCCCGCGCCATGCACCACATGCAGTGTCTAAACACGCTGAGGCCTGGCATGAGCCCGGTACGCCAAGCCCGCCACCCCCAGCAGCACATCACATGGTCCCCAGACTCCCTACATACACTGTACTACTTCCTGCGCTGCTTACAGATGGAATCCATGGAAAATCCAAACCTGGACCCGCCCAGAATGGCACTTCACAATGAGCGGTGAGGACACTTGCAAGATGTAACTTGACAACTTTGCCATCTAGGGCAACAATTCTGAATACATTTTCATATGATGTATCGCTCTAATTCACCTAAAGTATAATACAAGGAAAAACTTTTTTTTTAGTTAGAGGGATTAGAACATCTGTTGGTTTTTATTGCTGTATGTGCCACCAATAGGGAGATTCACCCTCTCAATTTGTCCTGTTTAACATTATCATTGAAAGTGAAAACAAAAGCAAATCCAAAATTTTAGGTTGTCCCCAGAAAAGTATTAGAGGGGAAATCTTCCAATGGGGACACTAGTTCTGGTGACCTGAGGGACCCAAGGGATTCCCTTAACTTGCAGGGATTTCCTCTCACTTCCTGATTTGGCAATAGAATAGTGAAAGTGAAATTTCCCAATGGGACACAGAAGGCAAAAAATTCAGGGGTTGTAACCCTCCATTACTGTGTCCAAAATGAAAAAAAAAAAATTTTGACTATAATTCTACTTTAAGATGTAAGTAAAAAATTCAGGGGAAGGACAAAAGCAGCAGTGAGTGACACAAATTTTGGTTTAAAATGTTTCCTGGACATTTTGTACCAGTGTGCACCTAAAGCAGTCTGTCTTTCTGTCTGTGTCCCCATTCTGTAGATTTTTCTCACTTCCTGTCAAGTGGCACTGGTCCTTGGGACAATGAACAGAAAGTAAACCTCCATACAGGGACACAGACAGCAACAAAATCATCTACAAATATGTAGTCCATTGAGGGACATAGGAATTTTTAAACTTTCAAGGTTTACTGCCACCTACAGGAGGACTGTACACTGGCAAACAAAAAACACTGTTTGCTAGCCCAGGGTATACAGTGGATATCAAAGGTCTACACACCACTGTTAAAATTCAGGTTTCTGTGATGTAAAGAATCGAGACAAAGCTAAATCATTTCAGAACCTTTTCCACCTTTAATGTAACCTATAAACTATACAACTCAGTTGAACAACAAACTGAAATCTTTTAGGTGGAGGGAAGTAAAAATAAAAAAATAAAATAAAATGGTTGCATAAGTGTGCACACCCTTAAACTAATACTTTGTTGAAGCACCTTTTGATGTGATTCCAGCACTCTTTTTGGGGATGAGTCTATGAGCATGACACATCTTGGCAATATTTTCCATCTCTTCCTTGCAAAAACATTCCAATGTTTTTCTTCGTAAGAAAAGGCTTCTGTCTTGCCACTCTACCCCATAGTCCAGACAGTCCAGAATATGGGAGATTGTTGTCACATTTACCACGCAGCCAGTACTTGCCAGATATTCCTGCAGCTCATTTAATGTTGCTGTAGGTCTCTTGGCAGTCTTCCAGTTTTCTTCTCGTCTTTTCATCAATTTTGGAGGGACGTCTGGTTTTTAGTAATGTCACTCTTGCATCATATTTTCTCCACTTGATGATTACTGTCTTCACTGTGTTCCATGGTATATCTAATGCCTTAGAATTTCTTTTGTACCCTTCTCCTGAATGATACCTTTTAACAATGAGATCTCTCTGATGGTTTGGAAGCTCTCTGCGGACCATGGCTTTTGCTGTAGGATGTGACTAAGAAAATGTCAGGAAAGACCTACTAGAACAGCTGAACTTTATTTGGGGTTAATCAGAGGCACTTTAATTGATGGCAAGTGTGTACTGACTCCTATTTAACAGGATTTTGAATGTGACTGCTTAATTCTGAACACAGCTACATCCCCAGTTATAAGAGGGTGTGCACACTTGTGCAACCACATTATTTTAGTTTATATTTACTCCCCCCTGAAAGATTTCAGTTTGTTTTTCAATTGAGTTGTACAGTTTATAGGTCACATTAAAGGTGGAAAAAGTTCTGAAATGATTCATCTTTGTCTCATATATTTTTTTTTTTACATCACAGAAACCGGACATTTAGACTTTTTATATGCACTGTATGTACAAGCTTCTTTTTCTGTGTATTGCTGGGCAGTTATAAGAGGGTGTGCACACTTATGCAACCATATTATTTTAGTTTTTTTATGTTTAATCCCCCCCCCCCCAAAAAAAAAAAATGTACTTTTTTTTCAATTGAGTTGTACAGTTTATAGGTCACATTAAAGGTGGAAAAAGTTCTGGAATTAGTTTTTTGTCTCACTTTTTTACATCACAGAAACCTGACATTTTAACAGGGGGGTGTAGACTTTTTATATCCACTGTAACTCTCTCCTACTACCAGCATGTTTTTTTGCTGCTGTCATAGGAAGATGGATCTATTTAACAGTTGGATCAAGACTATGTTGATGCACCTTCTGATGTTTGCAAAGACATACGTACAGTATGTCACCAGCACACCAAGGATCTCCAGAACAGGTCCATAGCTTTATTCAGCAAGCACGTCATAGTTACAAAAGCAACGTTTCTGAGCCTTGCAGGACCCCTTCATCAGGCATGTGACATGGCGTCACTTGCCTGAAGAAGGGGTTTTGCGAGGTTCTGAAACTTCACATTTGTAGCCAGTGGTGTATTTAGGTTTTGTGCTGTCCTAGGCAACACAAAAATCAGACACTCCCTGAGGAGAGAGCCAGACATTAACCTGCCCCCCCACCTGAGGGAGCCTTCCACTAACACACATTCCCCCCCTCCCCCAAAATGAGAGAGGGAGAAAAAGACACTCCCTTTCACAACTCCAGACATCCCTGGGAACGAGAGTCGGGCTCTGCATGCACCATCAAGCAGCCTGCGGCCTCTCTCGGATAGTACCTGGCACCCATGCCATATGTGTCTGTCAGGAATGGACTCAGCACTGGTGGTGGGACTCACCTGCCGTGTGGGCTGCAGTACCAGGGCTGACCAGCGGGTGCTCTCAGCAGCCAGAAGCTCACTCCTGCAGTCAGCCAACACCTGAAGCTGATTGCAGGAAGTGCATTTAAGGAATGACCAGGCCTGGGATCAGGGCCTTGGTGTATGTTTCCCATGTGCCCTGTTCCCTGTCTCTTACCTGCTCTGTTCCTGTGTTCATTCCGTTGCCGACCTCTGCTTGCTCCTGATCCTGCTATTCTCCTGATTAACCCCTGGCTTGCCTGACTACTCTTTTGCTTGATCCCTGGTACCGCGCTGCCCGCAACCTGCTGAACCTGGCTTGTGACCCCGACCATTCTCTGCTCGCTCCTCTTGTACCTCGCTGCCCGCACGATACCGACCCGGCCTGCCTGACTACGCTTACTTCACCCAACCATCCATCCATCCCGCACAGATCACTTCAGTAAGTCTGCCTGCCTCTTCCCATCAGACTCCGTTCCCGCACTCCCCTGCCAGTACTCTCTACCACAGCCGGACGCACTCAGGGGTCGCGACCTGGTTCCAGTCTGCACCAAGTCCATACCCACCATGGGGCCCTGGTGAACAGTAGGCTGGGACGTAGACCCCGCGCCCTGAGGAAATCCGTGCTGTTGGCTCGGCCTGCCTGACCGCTCCACCTCTCCAGCCCTGACTGCTCTGGTACCTATTAGTTTAAGGTTTATTGCACCTGGTTGTACATATTTATGTAAGTGTTGAGTTTGGTTGTTTGCACTGCGTTTGTTTGTGTTGCCTTTAATAAATTATATTGTGTTACACGCTATACCTGAAGTCTGTGTTTCCCTGTGTCGGTCCACACACCTCTGGTCATACCTGGAGCCCTGACAGTGTCCCTTCGTCTCTCCTTTCTTCCGAGGGCAGTGCTGCCCCCCCCCCCCCCCCGAAAAGATGCCGCCCTAGGCAAATGCCTTGTTTGCCTTGTGGTAAATACACCCCTGTTTGTAGCCATGAAGTGATTGCTGAATAAAGCTATGGACCTGTTCTGGAGATCCTTGGTGTGCTGGTGACATAAATCTCATTTTGAACGTCTTTGGTTTCCAGCAGGTGGTTGCTGCAGCCATTTTCAGGAAGGTGTCCCTTTGTTATATTGTGCTTGAAATTCCGATGTCGGCAGGTGGCTTCATATTACTTATTATTACTTATCCTTGCTTATTTTGGTCGGTCATATTTTCTGTACGAGCTGCAATGCCAGAATTTACCAGCAGGTGAAATTGAGTTATTAGGAAACTTTATCTGCACTCTGGTTCAAATCTGAAGGAGTGCACATGGGGGATGACCTGTGCATTATGACACTGAGGGGTCTTTGGCAATCATGGGATTTCCAGGATTCTTAGAATCCCCACTAAGTCTAATAGGTTGTTTTGGATGATGGCGTATCATTAAATGAAAGCCTGTACGCGTTTCCCTGGATAAAATTTCTCAGTAATTCCATCTCCTGAGACACGTGCTCTGTACAGCTGCAGAAACATCTCCTCCGAAGAGTTCAAATGGGGACATTAGCCAAGCCCCCTACCTTGTTGCCACCCCATCCCAGATTACACAATGTGAAACATTGCAGACCCCTCTACTGCTGTGTCCCCAAACTGCTTCCATGTGTTCCTGTGAAATCAATATCATCCGCACCTAATAAAGAACAGCTACGAGCTCACTGACGCTGTACCTCACAGGGGATGGTGTGTTCCGTGGACATGAGTTCATGCTAATCACACATGGTTATACTGGATTAACAGCTAATGGATGCTGATGGCAGATAGAGATGGATGGAGCCATTTACAATGCTGTTTTGGATTGATAATGGTCTGTTGTCAACACAGATGGGATACAATTCCTTTGCATGTTCTGACTTCTACATCTGCTATTATTATTGTTTCAAGTACATAGATGACAAAAAATCAATCCCTGGTGCAGGGGCTGACTGACAACTCATGGGGCCCCCGGGCTATAGGGGATCATGGGGCCCCTGTGTCCTTGCCCAAACTCAAAAAAGCCTATGAAAAGGTACCAGGTGCATCTCATGGGGCCCCTTACTGACCCCGGGCCCTTGGGCAGTGCCCGTTTTTTCCAAATGGTCAGTCCGCCCCTGCCCTGGTGTTTTCCCACTATTGCTACATGTTTAAAGCAGAACTTCACTCTCTCAATCAACATGGACCTTTTCTAAC